TCCCATCGGCTGTTCATGAATGTGACGCAAGGAGAAAGAGCGCAAGTACTATCCAAGGCCAGTGACTGGGTCGAAGGTTGGGTGCCCATCCGCCGATCTCTAAAGGCCATCGCAGGATCCAATCAAGGACTGGTCCCGATTCCAACACGGATAGCCACTTTTCGGGGAGGATTCACGAGAAATGTCACCCTTTCCTCGGATTCCGAGTTCTGTATCACAGCTGGAACTGGAACGTGTGGTCCAAAGAACGCGCGAATGTGTCTGTACCACAGAGAGCTGCGTATAGCGCGAGCAGAAAAACAAGCGGGGTTTCGACGAAGGGCATTAGGAGGGTCATATCGGTCATCATCATCCCCCGACGTACCTTCAATGTCACAAGAGAGGAGAGTGATTCCCATTCCTTCCTGCAATGGGTAATGTCCCCGATCAGCAGCGCAGCACGGGAATGCATGGCAAGCATGATAATAGCAAGAGGCGAGTGTTGAACTGAGAGTAGCTAAAACAGCAGCCTTTTATTTTTCCTTTTTTTTGCCCCCTCTTCACTGAAAAGCGCTGACGCCACCCAAGAGACTGACCGGCAGACAAAGCCAGATAAAATCCTTGGTGAGCTTTTGATAAAGAAGCTCCAACCAGTAACAGAAAGCAGAAATGAACTTGCTCCAAGAAATCAGTCTTGAAGACGGCGAAGCAGCAAAGATTAATATATATATATATATCGCTTTCAACGGCAGAACCCTGGCCAAATCAGGTCGGCAATGTGAGTCGCTTCAAAGGGGCGCCCAGTTTGTATTTAAAAAGAAATATTAAAACCCAAAATGAGAAAGGGAAAAATAATAAAAAATTAATAAAAAAAAAAAAAAAATAAAAAGTGAAGAGGGTCAACAAAATAATAAAGCCTGGCCGTGCACGGAGCTTCTTTATTTTTGTAACCAGAAAGTCACAACGCGATTGATCAACAGTCGCTTTCCTCCTTTGCCTCTCAGCCTTTCCGTAAATGCAGTAGGGCAACCAGCAATCCGTGCGCTAGCTCATGACACTATTTGACGGCGTCCTGAGCTGGCCTCGAGAGACGGTACAAAGGGGAGCGAGGAGGGTCCGGCTGCTCATAAGACGCTTCAAGGCAGAGACTGACAACGCAGAAGAATAAATACGGCGACAAAGTAGGCGTGGCAGGGCTCGACAAAGAAGAAAAAGAGACGAAACCAAAAAAAAGAAAAGAAAAAAAAGAATGAAGCACCTGCAAGTCTCCAAGAAACGGGATGGTTGGCTTGATAGCTAAATTGGGATGGGATTGAAGGGGATCCCCCAATCTCTTCTTTCATTCTGGCTGCTCCCAGAGAAGCCCCCCCCCCCCCCCCCCCCCCCCGGCGCGAGAGAGTGGAGTGGGAAGAGTCTATTATTTCTCCCTCCGTTCTGGCTCGCCCGTGTTTCCCCCGATTCTCGAACCCTGGGTTACTGCTTGATTGCGTTGCCACCTGATGATGTTCTCCCCAAGCTTTGGGCGGCAATTGAAAAAGCTTTCGGGGATGATCATTGGGGATTTGGGGAACTCTATATGGAGTCCGCACTCCAGACTTCACGCAAAGTACGGAGTACAAGAAACATTGTTTCCCCCCCCGTACGGAATCATGGGCTGTTGGGGGAGAGCCGAGCCGAGCGAGCTGAGATCCTTGGACCTCACACATTAATGGCCAGTCGCTAAGCAGCCTGACCATCCCTCGCCGATGGAGCCTGTTTTAGCGTCGGAAAATGGTGCTGACGGAGTAGGAAGACTGTCAGCGGTTGACCAAAAAAAAGCCCCCGAAAGTTTGTTGTTTGAACTCAAATGTCGCCAAAAATGCCGAAAGTGTCTTTCATTATTCCGTGGGAGCCGAGCTGAAGGTCTGCTGGCCGCATTGGGAGCAGCAATATCGCCGCGCACGGGAGCTCATTGTCACTTTTGACCCTATGGTCCCGGATCGGGATGCGCGCGTTGTCGCATGGAGTGAGATACAGACTCTCGTGCAATGTGAGCAAATAATGCCGTCGAGCTGGCTGTCCTCAGGCCTCTGGCCCACGGCCTGATCTGCCTGACAAAAAAGCCCCCCCAGAAAACAAAAAAAAAAAAAAAAGAAAAAAGGAAATATAAGAAAGAAAAGTTCATCGCCTATTAGCATCTGCCTCTGCACGACAGTATAATGATCATGACTGGATCATCGAGGCCGTCAAGGGCGCTTGTGCTCCACGGGCCCGAGGATTTACGCCTTGTATGTAGCACACCAGCGCACGTCCAGCAGCCGGGAGACATCTCAGCTAACGATAGAGACAAACCAGGAAACGCGAGAGACACCTTACCCCGCCGCAGGAGAGGTCCAGATAGCCATCCGTGCCACCGGCCTCTGCGGCTCGGACCTCCACTACTTCTACCAGGGCCGCAACGGAGACTTCGTCGTGCGGGCTCCGCTATGCCTTGGTCATGAATCGGCCGGCACGGTCACCGCGCTAGGCGCAGATGTGACAACGCTGCAAGCAGGCGACCGCGTTGCTCTCGAGGTCGGCATCCCTTGTCGCAAATGCACGCTGTGTCTCCAGGACAGATACAACCTTTGCAGCTCGATGCGATTCAGGAGCTCTGCGGCCGTATTCCCGCATCTGGACGGCACGTTGATGGACATCACCAACCATCCGGCGATGCTTTGCCATAAGCTGCCGCCCACGATCTCCGACGTCCAGGCTGCCCTCATCGAGCCCCTCGCGGTCTGCATCCACGCGGTGAACCGCTCAAAGCTGGACATTTCCGCCATCGCCCAGATCCCCCAGCGGGACGTGACGGCTCTAATATTTGGCGCCGGCGCAATAGGCCTCCTCCTCGCCTGCGTCCTCGCCGCAAGCCAGCCCTTCACCGCCATCGTCGTCGCAGACATCAACACAAAGAGACTCCAGATCGCCTCCACCCTGCCATACACCAACATCACCCCGCATCATCTCCTCGCCAAACAGGCGCCCTCCTCCTGCACCCCGGAAGCGGACGACGACTATGCAAAATCCATCGCCGCAGAGCTCGCCGCCAAATTCACCCTCCCGCACGGCTTCACCCGCGTCTACGACTGCACGGGCTCTCCGTCGTGCATCCGCGCCGCCATCCACGCGTCGTCTCCCGGCGGCGCCGTGGTCCTCGTGGGCATGGGCGGTCCGCGCCTCCCCACACTCCCGCTCTCCTTCGCTGCGCTGCGGGAGATCGATTTGATCGGCGTGCTGCGGTACGACGGCAGGTGTTATCCCGAAGCGGTGCGGCTGATGGCGTCTGGGAAATTGGACGGTGTGACGGAGAGGATAGTCACGCATACGGTCGAGTTTGGGAATGAGGGCGGGCAGAAGGCGTTTCGGTTGGCGGGGAATGGGGTGGATGACGAGGGAAATACGGTTGTCAAAGTCGTTGTTATGGGGGAAAAGAGGTGATGAGGATTTCCCACGGTGTCGAAAACTGAAGAGAGAAAATGCCTGTGGTGTCTCTCAAGGCTGATACAAATTAAAGAGTTGAAACGAGAATAAACGGTATCCATTATCATTAATTAATATATATCATATCATATATCATATATTCTAATGCACTCCATAGTTAAGATCGCCTGCCACCTGCTGCCTGCCCTACACCACACCCAGATGCGTAGTTAAAATGCTAAAAGGTGGCTTTTCTGTTTTTTTTTATAAAAACAAAATTAACTGAAAGGCAAATCATTCAATTGCCGAAATCTCTCCAAACCGAAATCACTCCGTGCCATTCTCAAAACCCCTTCAACCCCCCAGACAGCATAATACTCTGGCCGGTCATATATCCCGTCGTAACACACATCTCCACGGCGGTTGCAACCTCTTCTACCGTTCCCAGCCTCCCCAGAGGTATTCCGGCCGCAACTTCGGGGATCACATGGGCCCCGGGTATCATCCCCGTCTCACCGATCATCGCGGGTGCAACGTCGTTCACGGAGATATTAAATTCAGCAAGACGTGTCGCGAGATTTTTCATCATTCCCGTCATGCCCCCTTTAGATGCCGCGTAGTCTGAGCGGAAACAAAAGAAAGAGAAAGAAAAAAACATCAGAGCTTGCAAACCAGAACAGCTATTGCTAGCAAGGATGTGGGAGGAATAAATACAAAAAAAGAAAAAGAAAGAAAGAAAACCTACGAGCTCCATTTATCCCTCCGCCATACGCCGCGATCGAAGATATAAAGACAATCCTCCCCCACCGCTGAGCCTTCATGCGTTCCACCACGCCCTTGACGAGCAGAAACGAAGCTCTAAGGTTCACGTTGATCGTATAATCGAACTCTTCCAGCGAGATGTCCCAGATCTGCGGTATCCGCTTTCCGTATCCCGCGTTCGAGACTAAGATGTCTGGCGTTTGCCCGTGTTCCTTGACAAGCTCCTCGAACAGCCGATCGATCTGCCCAGCATCCGCGACGTCCACCTGGTGGATCGATACGCGCTGCTGTGGACCCGTAACTCGCGTTGCGACGTCATCGAACACGGCGTTCATCCCATCGGCGTTCTTGGAGTAAGTCAGGGCAAGATGGACGCCTCGAGAAGCAAGGCTGCGCGCGCAGGCTGCACCGATGCTACATCCGTACCGAAGAGCGAACGTCAATGGTCCGAAAGTTTCTGGCGTGGCGCCATATCGATGGGTTTGGAACAAGACTCACTGACCCCGACGACGCTCCGGTTATCAGGGCAAGACGCCCAGCAATCTCGTTCGTTCCAGCCATCGTTGAACTCAGGAACTCCAGGGAGCTTAAAGCGTAGACAAGGCAGTCCGGAGTGAGGATGGGCGGTGGTTCTTCTACAGCAGGCGTGGAGAGAAACATGTGGCGGGGGGGCCGGGAAGGCTTTCCCCCGCCAAAGGCCGCCAGTGCAGCCGGGTAAAGAGCTTTCCCGCATTCCGGCCGTGGGGGAGAAAGCTAGCGCCGGCGCCGTCAGGCTAGAGCTACAAAAACGGTGGGGGAAATGATGAGGACTTTGCGTGTTCGATTTGATGGCTGGCCATTGCTTAATATAGTTTTTGGCTTCGTTGTTTCATGACAAATAGCAACCCGATCGTTGGGGAAACGCTCAGAACAATAGGTTTCCATTCGGGTCAACTGACCAGATAGGGCACGGCGTTCCGTTGGTATACGCAGCGTGCGGGTCGTGTACGTACGCAGAGAGATCGATGATATTACCGCCGGCAATAGGATTTCCCAACACAAAGTCCCCGACAGCTTCCAGGTCTAGCCACGAGAAGTCGTTTGTAGGGCTGACCTGCGTTGCCGTCGTCTCAGTGGAACCATTCGTCGAGGCTCGGACCGACATGTCGGTGTTGCGCCTAGGGCCGAGATCTGGTGTACTCAAAGACTGTTTAAACCATAGGCGTTCTAGAAGAAGCGCGTACCGGGTGCCGGTCTTGTCGGGGCCGGCGCTGGCTCGTCGTAATCGGTTCATTGTTTCTCTGATCATTTCTCGTATCTCAAATTGTTCTCCCCGACTGATCACCCCAAACGAATGCGCCTATGGACGGCCGTGTCAGTAAAAGCACTGGCCATACAGAGCTAAAGGGCCTTACCTTGTATAAGAAGACTGCCGCGTACGTGCCATATCTTGCGCGTTGTGTTATCAGCAACTCACCGTCTTTTTGAACGTTGGAGTGGATGGCACTTACAGATAATATCTTAGCGGAAGGTAACGCAGGTGTCTCTCGGGGTTGACGGAAGTATTCAGGATCCTCAGATACTCCTTTGCCGATCGCACTGAGGAGTATATGAATCTAGAGTCCTGCATGGATGCTACGTCACTGAAGGTGGCACGCAGATATTCTCTCTGCATTCGAGCAGTGCATTTTGGCTTGGATGAGAGGGTCTGTGAGATAGCTGCCTGGAAAGCAAAGGCATTTGTGTACAGACTGAGATAGACGCTCTGCATCTGCAGGGTGACTTTGATCTCAGGAGAACCTGTAGAATTTCCAAGTGTGAGCACGCGTAACTATCTCTCAAAGGTGGGTGCAAGACAGTTAGAGAGGGAGGGGGGAAGAGACTGACAGCTGATGTTACCCCATCGATCGTGCCAACGATCTATAGCTATGCGGAAGTCATCCACGTATTTTACATAATCGCCCATAAGCATCATCTGGCTGCTGGTCCGCATGCCGGAGTAGAGAACATCGTGTACATTGCCGTACAACTGCGTGAGGTCGAGAGTGGCTTGAAAAATCTTCGAATAGTCTTCGTCTCCGGCGGTAAGGGGCTGCAGCGAGGGGAAATCATCGCTCACAAGCCCCGTCATCGGGCCAGGACCACGGGACCAGAAGGCTCGTCCGATTCGGACGGATATCAGTCGATCGGATACATAGCAGCTTGCCCACGCGAGCCTCCTGCGGTGAATAGCCTGTAGATCCCCGCCGCTATCGGTCCGGAACGAGGTCCTTTCGAGGCCCAGGAAGTATCCCGACCGCAAGGCCAGTCCCACATGCATCCAAGCCGCACGGTTCTCTTCACCTCGTCCGATCGTCTTGATCCGCGGTTGGAGTCCAGGGGGTTCCCACTCCGCAATAAGGAGCAAGGCCTCGACGGCTTCGACCTCGCACGGCGCGCCGGCCGCGACACCTGATATCAGTTCGTGCATGTAGCCAGAGCATACTTCGTGTATATGAGGCTCCTGGATTCTATTCTTGGAGGCAATCGTGAGTATGGCGGTGAGAAGGTGCCTTTCTTCTTTGGCGAAGTGGCCCAAGTTTTTACGATCAAAGAATTTCCGGGGCACCAGGGGTAGATAAGGGTGGAAGTTTTCAGCGTAGTGGACGACCAGGTCCCAGACCTGATCGCCGGTCATGGAGCCATTTTTAACGAGGCGATAGGATTCAATGCTGGGCGGGGAGTCCCGGGCCTGTGCCATGCCGTTGTCGGGGCCGTTACCCTGTATAGATCTACGAGATTCGGAGTTGTAAGGGCTGGTAGATTTGTAGAAGCTTCCGTCGTCGTCCTGAGCTACGTTGGTGAGACACTGCCAGGCATCCGAAGGATTTTGGAGAACGCCGTGACTGAATGAACTCTCGGCGATAGGAACTAGGTCGTCGTCGTCGTCGTCGTCGTCTTTCATATGAATGGAATCGACAGTGGGTGACTCGGAGGTCATGGAAGGGTGTAATGGGTACTGCGGAGGGAATGGATGGGGGCCGGCGGTGATGGGGATTGCCGCTGCATTGAGGTGTAAGGATTTAGTGCGAGAGACGGCAACGGCATGAGGAGCATTAGAATTAGTGGTGAAGGGAGCAGCGGCGGCGGTGGTATTAGTGGTGGTGGTGGAGGTCGAGGTAGTGGCAGTAGTGGCAGTAGGAGCAGTAGCAGTAGCAGTAGCAGTAGCAGTAGCGGCAGCGGAGTCCACCTTGACCTCGAGGGGCTTTTTGCGGATGCGGCGGCCGCCTCGATTGGAGCTCCCCAGGACACAGTCGCGACTGTCGCGAATACACCGTTGGCAAGGCGGGCTGCCGGGATTGCCGCTGCTATCCCTGTTATCAATTGCCGTCAGAGCTAGATCCAACGGACCAAAAGCAAGTAGCCAATACGGCGCTAAGGTTGGGGGGCTGCACAATACAACGACGCAAAGACCGACAGGGCGAAGAGACAATTAAGTAGTAAGTAGAAGTAGAAGAAGCAGACGTAGTAGAATTAATAGTATTAGTAGTAGAAGAAGAAGAAGAAGAAGAAAAAGTAGAAGTAGAAGTAGAAGTAGAAGTAGTAGTCGTAGGAGGAGGAGTAGTAGTAGAATAAAGAAGAAGTACAAGAAGTAGAAGAAGTAGAATAAAGAAGAAGTAGAAGAAGTAGAAGAAGTAGAAGAAGTAGAGAAGTAGTAGAATAAAGAAGTAGAAGAAAGACAAAGAAAGGGAGAGAGAGGACGAAAGAACTAAGGCCAAGCGGCTGTTCAAACTTACAAGTCGCATCGAGACTTGCGCTGGCGGCAATGGAGACAGGCTCTCGAGACTCGCTTCATGGTATGCTGTGTGTTACTCTTGCGTTTCGGTTCCGCGACGAGAGTTTTCAAGAGTCCGCCATTTCGCTCCGCTGAGGCCATGGTTGTTGGACGGACGGACGGACGACGGGTGGTGGTGGTGGTGGTGGTGGTGGTGATAGTTTAGCGGTGGCAGGTTAAGCGGGAAGTGGAATAACGAACTAGTCAATGAGATGCCGGGGAAAATATGTTCAGGAAGAATAACTAGTTATCTTTTTGAGAGAATATTCCTGACAAGAAGCTGCTAGTACCCATCCAGCGGAGCAGGACACGGCTCATCGACGAGTGCGAGCTCCCGCATTCTCCTCCCCGTCGCTCTTCGCCCTGGTTGCACTGGGAGCTAATAATGGCAGAGGAAGCGAGAGCAGGGAGATCAGCATTGGCAGAAGAGCAGCCGTGCAGGGGTGGTGGTGGTGGTGGAGGGAGGCAGCAGCAGCAGTACCAGTACCAGCACGAGCACCGGCAGTCAAAACTCCCAGCTCGTGAGTTGGTTGACCAGTGCGAGGTGCAGCGTCAGGTCGTGCCACCACCAACGGAGAAGATGGAATCTCGGGAGGCGGCAGACAAGACCACCCAACGGCATGCGGAGGAGGAAGAGAGAAAAAAAGTAAAAAAGTTCAAACGCTATGATAGTCGGCGAGCAAGATCTTAAAAAGAAAAAAAAGAAAAAACAAGAAGAAGAAGAAGAAGAAGAAGAAGAAGAAGAAGAAGAAGAAGAAGAAGAAGAAGAAGAAGAAGAAGAAGAAGAAAGAAGAAGAATGATGGGTGGGATGGAGAGAGAGAGAGATTGATATGAGAGAGAGTCTTGTATGCTGCTGCTGCTGCTGCTGCATGTCATGAAGACGACGAGCTGATTTTCCCCCACAATTTTAGCTCCGGCAGGTCGACTTGCGCTGTTGGCTTTGTTTCGCCTCTCGAGTTTCCGCAGTAGTTAATTTAGTTTTAGTTAACTAGTTTAGGCCGTTGATTGACGAGACGACGACAGCAGCTCGCTGGGAACAGACAAGCCGGTTCGTCTCTCAAACGCTGCCGCACCGCTCAGAAACGGCCGCCCGCAGGCTCAATACGACACGGGGATCTCTGCTCGGGGATACGCCTCTCTCTCCATCTCTCGCTCTCTCTCTGTGTGTGTCTCTCTCTCTCCCTCTCCCTCCACAAACCCTGAACACCTCGCAGGCCAGGGTGGATTTCAATTCGGCCAGAGGCGACCTGAACCTCCCGCGCCTCCTGTGCGACCCCGCGGCTCTCCCGTTTGTCGAATCGCGAGCGTGTGACTCGCCGTGCTCATCCGGACAATCCTTTGATTCGACATGCAGCGTTAAGAGAATTTAGTTTGACTCGTCTGCCCAGGCTATTATGATCGGCTGTGTCTTTAATTTTTTTTTCCTTTTTTTTTCTTTTTTTTCCTTTTTTCATTTTTGTTTTTTTTTACCAGACTTTTTTACCTTGACAGGACCAAATTTTGTAGCCCGAGCTAGTTCACTACAGACAAACGTTTTGACAGATCGATCGCTTTTGGTCCCATTCTCATTCTCTCTGTCTCTCTCTCTCTCTCTCTTTTTTTTTTTTTTTTTTAAGATCTTGCCCGTTGAGTGTTTGGTTTCATGACTCTATACTAATTCATCTATGCGGCGCTCTTTCAACGCCATCTACCACTCTGCTTTGGTGGTGGGTCTTGTCTGCGGCATTCCGTCAAGCGCGAAAAGAAAAAAAAAAAAACTCTCAAACAAGCCTGCTCTGCCACATCTACAGAGCAAACAGAGAGAAGGGAAAGTTAAAAAAAAAAAAAAAAAAAAAAAAAAAAGGACTGCAGAATGAAGGATGTATGCATGCACTCTGTACATGATGTATGATGTCGTGTGTTTACAACTACCTTGCGGCGTGCGAAACACTCCGTCCTGTCCGAACATCCGGCGCATCCTGCGTGCGGTTGCTCCGCTGGGCGAGACGAACGTGGAGGCTGCTGGGCCTTTCTTTTACTGTCTTGGCGGTGGTTGGAGGCCCGGGTGGTGGTAAGGTCTGGCAAACAAGCAGGAGAAAGAAAAAAGGAAAAAAAGAAAAAAGAAAAGAAAAGAAAAGAAAAGGAAAAACGTCTGGTTCTCAGCCCGAGTCCCAATCCCCGCGCCCATTGGCTACACCCCTCCACCACCGAGCTGTGCCGTCCGTTTTCTCCCGTCCTGCTCGACGGACGAGCAGCAATCAAACTGCTCCTTGTTGTTGCGGTTCGGGACGGACGGCGGGAAACCAAGTGTTGGAGAACGCCTACGGTGGACGACGCAAACACCGCGGAATCCGTGGCTTGCGAGATCGCTCTCCTCATTTGGAAATGATGAGACGAGATAGACGGTCGACTCTCTCGTAGGGCGGGCAGATCAGCATACTCCATCTGAACTCTAGACACGCTCAGGTCCCCCTTCAGACTTTAGGTCAGAAAAAAACGGTGGATCGGCGAATTGGAAGGCCTGTCACATTCCATCCCCGGACCGTTTGCTGCTGCTCGGCTCGACATCTTGCGTTCTGGCGTGCGTAGGGCCACATCAATACCTATTGAAGAGCCACCACCCCAAAAATTTTTCCCTGATGGCTATGCTCAGCGTCTGAAACTTCTTTCTCTCTCCCCTCCTTGGCTGACAAACTCATCCATAGTCAATTATTAGCGATTGAGGATGATCTGCTGTTGAGGTTGAGCTGCATCACACGACCATATGCCTTTTTTTTGGGTATCTGTCTTGCAAATCCTTCAGCAGATGCATCATCCACGCTCTCCTCGAGACCCCAGCATGTCAACGGAGAGTCTGTTGACTCCTCTGATGCGGACACCTCAATAAACCCCGTCACTTTCCAAAAGTAAGGTAAATGGACTACTCTTTTCGCTTTCCACCCGAAACATGGTATACCGACAAAGGAACCAAACAGATAATAAATCTTGTTAGTTAATCAGATCTAGACTCTTGCGCTGCTTGAATTCCAACCCCACCCCAACCCAACCCGCCGGGGTAATTCCGAGAAGAACATACAGTATATCACGACTTCGTACATGAACCATAAGGTTTTCCCCCAATCCAGAGCAAGTCGATGAGCTAAAAAAGGCCAGAATTCTCCACCGGCATTTTGTGGGCAGGCTCTTTTTGAGTATCGAAGCCGATGCTCTGGGTCAATAACCGACGCTAAAACCAGAAGTCGTTGGGATGGAGAAACCTTGTCGCTGCTCTTTGCTTGATTGTCCTCCTCGTAGTCATTTATGTATGTAGATATATATATATATGTGCAGTTGGATGTCTCGTCAAAAGGGGCTGAGCCTCTCACTCCAAGCTTGTAGAGGAAATTTCCGGGCGGGCGAAGCGAGATTAAATGATACAGTTGTATCCTGGGTTTCGATATGAACTGCTCTTTTGCTCATTTGACGAGTATGAAAGCTCGCCGCGAACTGTAGTATTGCATATATGATTTGTTTTCCTTGTGCGATGGGGGGAGAAATGGCAATGGATGAATTGTCGTCGTCGTGGTGTGTGTTTGTCTGGAAAGGTTACTCTTGGATGACCGGGCTGTGAGACATCTTCTCCCTGCTTGGACCAGTGAAGGGCATCCCGCGGACGAACAAGCTGCTGGGAAGAACCTTGCAAGCATGTCTTCGCTGTGTCCAACGCACGGGAGAACCTGTTGTTCTACGCACGTACCGGGACCCCGAGAGATCTTCGAGAGGAACAAAAAAACGTTTTCGCAGAAAGAGGGAAGAGAGCTTGAGGAATGCGAAAAGCCTAATTTTTCTTTGTTAGACGTAGGTTCCGTTTTATCCCCAAAATCCCCGGTGCACCCAGCGTATGAATCAAAAAAAAAGGTTGTTGTAATCGACTTTCCGCCCTACACTACGAAACCCAACCCGGTCTCGGGATCAGATCATGACGTCCTCGCCGGTGCTATCTCTCTTTTCCCTGCAGGGCAAAACAGCCCTTGTGACAGGCGGCACCCGCGGAATTGGGCAGGCGATGGCCCAAGCGTTAGCTGAAGCGGGAGCCGATATCATCCTTGTCCAAGTCAGTATGTCGTTAGTATCGTTTTTGTTTCTTATTGTGTGTGTGTGTGTATATGTATCTACTACTTTATAACATTTGTTCCTTGGATTTGTTATTCTTTCTTGGATTGGGGCTTTTCTGATGGATGTCAGAGGGATGAAAGCAACACTACGACTCGCGATGCGATAGTACAGAAGACCGGAAGAAAGGTCACCATCCATGTTGCCGAGCTGTCCGATCGAGAGGCGGTGGCCCAAGTGATACCGTCGATTGTGAAATGCGGTCAACATGTGGACATTCTGCTGAACTGTGCGGGAATCCAGCGAAGGCACCCAGCTGAGAAGTTCCCGGATGGGGATTGGGATGAGGTATCTATACTCTTCCCCTCCCTTTTTATTTTTAGTTTCATTTCTTTTTTATTTTTTTTATTTTTCCTTTTTTTGGTGTCTGAAGGAGTTCCGGTCCACCCCAACACGTACAAGACTTACTGATGCTGGATCTGTGAAACGAACCAAAAAAAAACAGGTTCTCCAGGTAAACCTGACCTCGGTGTTCACCCTTTGCCGGGAGTTTGGGGCATATCTCTTATCTCGTGATGCATCGACGTTCCAGTCCGATCGACGAGGGGCCATCATCAACGTCGCATCCCTGCTCTCATTCCAAGGGGGAATCACCGTCACCGCGTATGCCGCGTCCAAGGGCGGAGTGGCGCAGTTGACCAAAGCGCTCTCAAACGAGTGGGCATCTCGGGGGATCTCGGTCAACGCAATCGCACCGGGATACATCGACACGGAGATGAACACGGCTCTTATCAACGATGCGGCGCGCAACGATGGGATTATGGCCCGCATACCGGCCGGGAGGTGGGGTAAACCTGAGGATTTCAAGGGCGTGGTTGTGTTTCTTGCCAGCGAAGCCAGTGCGTATGTCTCCGGGGAGATTATCTGTGTCGACGGTGGATGGATGGGCCGGTGATCATTTCCGGCCTGTCTGTGATTGTCAGGCAATGAGGAGGGTCAGTGAAGGAGGACACCTGGAGGAAATTGTCTTTCGCTCGGCTTAACTGCCGGTTGTTAACTACGTGGACCAGTGGGATATCGTTTTCAGGAAGAGATTGTAGTGTTCGGTTTCAACTCATGTGTGAAACTACTGTCGATTGGCAGCATTCTGCGGAGGAGCAGTTGTAACTTAAGTGATGTCACGAAGGCCCTTTTTCAAGTCTAGTCGCCAGTCGGGAATTTCTCGCGTCATTCATCTTTTTTTTTTTGATGCCCTGTTCCAGGCGCCTGGGCGGTGGGGATACGCGGAGCAAGGGACATCGGGGGCCATCCGTTCTGCTTGAGCAAAAGAGTTAGTTAGAGCTGTGGCAACTTGAAACCGACATTCTTCAGGGAATCTTCTCTCAATTGTCAGAGATTCAGAAGTGCGGTGACCTTCATCTTGCTATCTGTCGATCCAACTTTTGTCTTTTGACAACCGTCAGCACTTCCGCCCACCAGCCGAAAGCAGAAACATGTCGAGAGAACGCTTCAGATTCTTCAGGCTGCGAAAGAGTTTTCGATCGCACAGTGGCCAATCAATTGGTTCTCGACCCTTGCGCCCTGACAGTGGCCAAACTCACGCACGGCCAATGAGCAAGCGGGTGCGCCTGGCCCGCTGTTTCAAGTCCGGCTCTCGTTTCCTTGGCCCGCATGTTTCGGCGGAGCAGAGGGTGATGGCGAGAGTGCCGGCCGTCACGGCTTTGAGCTCGATGGGCCGGTCTGCGATGTCAGATTGGCGGAGTTTAATATGCGCCAGTCCACTTGGTGCGCTTTCTCGAACCGCCCGGTCAGTCTTTTCCTCTGGCTGTCCGGTCGTGGAGGCCCATGTCGCCATGTCACCGCTTCCAAGAGTCAAGACTCAAAGGGCCACATGCTTCGGATGATTAGGGTTACCAATGCCAGGGCAGGAGACTGGGGGGCGAAAGCTCCCCTCTGAGTTTTTTTTCCCTCTCTCCTTTGATCCTGAACTTTGCCCGAGTTCTGGATAATATGCCGAGTTGCTTACCTCCCGGTTTTGCCTCCTGGTGGACACCTGCAAGCGGATCGTGCCCTGATCTGCCTACCATATCTGACTTTTTTTTTTTTTTTTGCTTTTCGGAATCAGCGTTCCATCCTTTTTTAAATACGGAGTCATATCGTTCCTCCGCCCCGGATAGGGGGACTAAAATTTTAGCGGAGGGGAAACGGTTCGCTTGGTTGTGTCGACTCCTATCATCTCTCTTGCACGGCCGCTCTTCAGCTTCTCCTGTCACCTTTGGATTTTGTTTCTCTCTTTATCTCTGTACAGTTCTTGAGAATATACGGAGTATATCCTTTGGCTCTGGTCCAAAAAGTCTGTCGTATCCACGTGGATTTCCTGTCAATCATTTCACCAATTGCAGCGCCGGCGCCGGTATCAATAGAGGTCAATCATTCAATCAATCAAGAAAACGATGCCAAAAAGAGGATTTTAACCTGATATCTGTTCTTTTCTTCATGACTCTGCTCTTGTAGCCAGGCTCAGCTTTTACTTCCTGACCTTGACATCCTTTATACTTGTGCTGGTCACCTTTTTGTCTCTCACTATTATGCAGCGACGAGGTGAGTACGGAGCACACCAGGCTGATATTCACCCTCCAGGCTTTCGATTTTGTTGCTAATGTGAACTGGATTGCCCAGGCATCTGATCGCGCGTCTTTCATTCTGACATTGTGTGGCGAGCCTGAGATTGCTGTGGCTTTTTGCTCCTGATATCAACCATCTTGCAGGAATCTTCCCGAGACAACGCCCATTTTCACACACACACACACATACACACACACTCTCTCTCTCTGTCTTGACATACACCCATTCAAAGGAATATCGTGGAAGTTAGCCCGGTCTTCACCCTGCAAACACTCCCTGTTTACTCGTTCTTCTTTGTCATTCATTTCTCCATCCTTTGACCATTCTACGCCCGCCTTTCCCCAGTCCTTTCCTTACCACTAAAAGCTACACGCTCCTACAGCATCTCTCTCTGCTGCGACAATTGTGTTGAACTCTTACACTCTCTTTGCCTCAGCTTGTCTGTTTGTTTGTCCACGTTCGCTTCGGCTACTTCGAAGACCCGGCGGGATTCTTCGCGACTCCTCCATTTGCAATGGATTCAGCGCCCCATGGCACCAACACAACATATATCTCCGATTACACAAGAGGGTTAACGGGCGTAAACGTTCGTTTCGACCACCTTCTTACCCAGATACTATGCGTCTCTATTGGAGGTGTTGCAGTGCTCGTCCTCTTCGCGAGGATAGCGCAGCTGGGTCACTCATACCTCCGCCGAGTTCTCTCCTCCGTCACTCCCCCGAGACAACAAAGATTCTGGGGAATAGAAGAATCACAGATATGGCCAAATATCAAGAAGCACATCTTATATGCTCCGTTGGGGAGGAAGAGACATAACCGAGAGTTCCAGCTATCCACGGCGGTCAACGTCGGGACGCTCCCTTCGCGGTTCCATACGATATTGCTCACTCTCTACATCGGAAGTCAGCTGGCCTACTGCATTATTCTTGACTACAGTGTGAACAAAAAAGCTGCGCTGGTTGCGGAAGTCAGAGGCAGAACCGGTAACCTAGCTGTGCTTAATATGATACCCTTGTTCATCTTGGCAGGCAGAAATAACCCCTTGATTCCTCTTCTTCGCGTCAGTTTCGATACGTACAATCTTCTTCATCGATGGATCGGCCGCGTCGTTGCTTTGGAGGCTATCGCTCACACGCTTGCCTGGGCCATCAATGCGGTCGATGCAACTGGCTGGGACAGCATGTGGAGAGGTCTCAGGGAAGATTCATTCTATACGTGGGGCTTGGTGTCTACCGTGGCGCTCGCGTTTCTCTTCGTTGACTCGCCTTCTCCGCTGCGACATGCTTTCTACGAGACGTTTCTCCATCTTCATCAAGTCGGAGCCCTGGTGGCAATGCTTGGGCTCTATCTCCACCTGGATCTCGACAAGCTTCCCCAAGTACCTTGGATGCGCTTCATCATTGGTGTTTGGATACTTGACCGATGCGCCAGATTTATCCGCCTCATCTATCTCAACGTGTCGCGCCGCCGTGGTTTGACTAGAGTCGTCGCCAAAGCATTGCCGGGAGAAGCAACCCGAGTCACTTTCTTCCTGCCTAACAATGCCCGTATCGAACCCGGTAGCCACGTCTATGCCTACCTCCCGCGCATTTCTTACTGGATGTCTCACCCTTTTTCCGTAGCCTGGGTTGAGAAAGACGAGCGCTCCGATTCCGATTCCGACTCCGCCCTTTCTGAGAAGACATTAGCAAGCTCCTCCGCTGCTGACTTCAAATCCAGCCAGATCAAAGAATTCGACGAAGAGCTCAACGGCTCCAAATTTCGACCTACACGCGTCACTCTGATCATGGCCGCTCGCACCGGTATGACGCGCAAGCTTTATAACGCAGCACTCGCCTCGCCCAATCTCACCCTCGAAACCAGCGGCTTCATCGAAGGACCTTACAATTCTCGCCCTTCCTCCTCCTTTGGCAGCTACGGCACTGTCGTCCTATTCTCCGGCGGCGCCGGAATAACCCACCACCTCCTACAGGTCAAGCACCTGCTGGAAGCCGCCGAGGCAGGCACCGTGGCCACCCGAAAGATATACCTGGTGTGGGGCGTTCGCACGACGGAACATCTCTCCTGGGTCCGCGGGTTCATGGACTCGATCCTCCACCAGCCAAACAGAAGAGACATTCTGATCACGAAATTATTCATCAGCAAGCCCAAGAGCACCCGCGAAATTACTAGCCCCAGCACGACGTTGCAGATGTTTCCCGGTCGGTGCCGGCCCAATATCGTGCTTGATGAGGCTATGGAGTCGAGGGTTGGCGCCACTGTGGTGTCTGTCTGCGGACCAGGCTCGTTTGCGGATGAGGTGCGTGCCTCTGTGAGAGGGAGGATCGGAAAGGGTGTAGTGATTGACTTTGTCGAGGAGTCGTTTACCTGGTGACGTTTACCTTTCTCGCTATTCCCCTTTTTTTATTTTTATTTTTATTTTTTATTTTTCTGCCATGTGTTCTCCCACCTTTTCTTCGCACAAGTGCATATATGGGCGTGGATTATTTTATTTTATTTTATTTTCCTCCGGCCGCAAGTGGCGTTGTCTGGACATGCCTGCCATTCGCCTTGATCCTATCACATTTGTTACTCCCTCATATCCGGCGGGCCAGTACATACTTTTTAATCCTTTCTATCCGGTCAGAGATACGGAAGGTGTTTAGCACATACATACCAAGTCCCAACATTTTAAGGGCAGAGATGTATTCAATAGATACAAGTGCATCAATACGTTTTACACACCATTCATTCTCAGAGCCTTAAAAAAGGAGCGGATCTAGTTTGCTATGTTTGTAACCTATCACTGATGTAGCAGGATTCGTAGGCAAAAAGGCATCACTATTCAAAGGAAATCTAACAAAAAGCTGTTGAGTGATTGAATGGGGCAAAACAAAAAGTAATCGACGATGAGAACAAAGGTAAGCATTTAGAGCGGATGCATAGCTGTTTAAAAACGTGAGCATTGGACTTTGGAGAAACAAAAATGTACATACATGCATATCGGCGCATACATAATCTTATCAGAAATCAACTCTTGATATCATAAAGGGCTGAAACAGGGCATTACCCACGTCGGTTAGACAATCACTGGTATAAGAACTAAGGCTGCAAAACAAAGACAAAAGAAAAAGGAAATAATGTATCAAAACACAAATACAAAAGTATATTCATCAACTGAATCACATCCTGGAGACATTGCTGCTATGATGCGCTGGCGGTAAACTAAAATCGCTATCAAACAAAGTGTCATGTCCGCCGGGATAATACGTGCTGCTCATTCCCGGAGCGGCTCCGGTGGTCGTTGTCGTCGTCCTCGCCACGCCAATCGGCTCCGCAGCCGAGAAATCCCGATCCTGCATGGCGGGATGGAGCTGTCCATCGCGTCTAAAATCGTCAATGTCGCTGTGATGATTACTATTATTATTATCCTTATTATCGTAGAGATCGTGCGACCTGTCGTCAGCCGTGCTGAATTTGTCTGCGAACGGGTTTTCGACCTGGAATTCGCCGGGTCTGTACTGGTAGCTTTGTTGTTCGGGTGCACCTGAGATGTGCGAATGGGGCATCACGCTTGGTGGAGGCGCGGGATCCAGTGGGGACAAGTCGTCGCCTGGGGGCGGGTAGGTCGTGGCCGCTTGCGTATTAGCAGTAGCTATTTCCTGCCGAGCCGGATCGCGGTGGAATTTCTTCAGCGCTTTTCGGGGAATAGAGAGGATCGGGACGTGGGGTTTAGATGGACGGACGACGGTAGGTTCGCCCAGCGGCGAGACCGGTCTGTAATTCGACTGGGGCGCTTGGTCAAGCTGTGTCTCCGGCTGCGTTGCTTTGAGATGTTTTCTC